TCTTTCCCCTCCTCAGGGCAGCCCTGGCCAGAGCATCTGGGAACATGGTTGGAAACATCCCATCTCTGCACGGATTGAGTGTGGCACTTTTACCTCACTTTTTTCTTATTACAAATTTTGTTAAATTTTGAAAAATGTTCCTGTATGAAATGCACGTATTTAAATAATAAATCTAGGTGTATCCAAATAAAGAAATAGAGCACTCCCAGTATCTCAGAAGACCCTAATTGCTCTTCCTCCCATCCAGAGAGAATTGTTACCCTGAAATATTTTGTTAATCATCCCCTTTTCTTTACAGTTTTACCATCTGTATCAGTTATCTCTTGCTGTAAGCAAACCACCTCGAAACTTAGTGTCTTTAACCATCAGCAGTTTATTATTTCTCCCCATTTTGTGGGTCGACTGGGCAGTTGTTTTTGTTCTACAAGGTGTTGAGGTCACTCGTGTGCCAGCATTCAGCCGGTGGCTGGGCTGGAGCCCTGGTGCTGTCAGCTGGGCATCTCAGCTCTTCTTTAGGGGGCCCATGCCCGTTGGTGTCTCCTCCAGGGCCCCTCCATGTGTCCTCTCCCCACAACAGGAGCGCCCGGCCATCCCTGCAGTGGGGTGGCCGGGTTCCAAGAAAGCAAAGCAGAATCTTCCAGACCTCTTACGGGCCAGGCCTGGAACTGGCACAGAGTCACTGCATCCTGTTGGTCAGAGTCATCCCAGGGCCACCCAGGTTCAGCTGGAGTCTCACGGCAGGTGTGGTCAGATGGGAGGGATTGTTGGCGGCCGTCCTCAGAGACTGCGTCCACGGTGCCCGCACATCCATGTCCAGGTTGCCTGTTTGCATCCACACTGCAGGGCTTCCCCAGGTCCTTCACGTTTTCGTTCCCAAATGAATTCCTTGTGCGGCTGGCCAGGGCTTGTGTCCAGCTAGGCTGCTTGTCCTCAGGGGAGCGTCCCACCTCTGACACCGAGGTCTGCCCCGTCAATCAGGGATATGGACCGAGCAGACGGCAGTGTCATGGAAGGTGCCCGCTCGCAGGCCGGAGTTGGTCGGAAACACGAAGGCTTTGGGCTCGATGGGCTCTGCGGTCTAGTTCTGTGTGAGTTTTCTGTTGTGCTATGTTTTGGGGGTCTTTCTTAGAAGCAGCTTTAACTAAGGCCCACACGTAGCACCCGTGAAGCAAGATGAAACGAGGAGGAGGGGACCCCACTCTAGTGCTTAGCGGAGGGCACCGCACACCGCGGGTGGGCCAGCAGAGCCGCACTCGATCCCCGCCGCGGGTAATGAGCAGTGGGCTGGCTGCTGATCTTGTTACTGTGTTCAGGTCTCCTCAGACAACGCCCCCTCCTTGCGTGCACTCGGGACGCGGCTCCCACATCGCCGCCCGCCCCTGGGGCCCCCATGTCCCTCTGTGTGGCCCAGGCAGGTGCATCCTGCCCCACGCGCTCATCTCTTTTCCTGGTCCCCTCTAAGCTTGGCCAGGTCCTGGTGGGTTCCTTTCATTGTAGAGTGTAAAAGAGGAGACAGGAGACAGTCAGAGGACTGCATGCTCATTCTATAACAACAGTTCACCTAGGTTTGGAGGTGGGGCACGGCCTGCTGCTAGCTCAGCCCCTCTGAGGGGAGGACCAAGCCGGCTGGCCCCTCACCGGCTCACCGCACCGTCTTGGGGAGAAGAGAGGGGCTGTTGGAGCTTTGTAGCAGGCAGGCAGCTGGGGGAGGTGAGTGGGTGAGCACCGGACGACAGCCTGGGGCCTCTGAGCTCCACTGCCCCTGGGGGCTGTGCGATTATAAAATCCACGGTGCTGCTGACAAGTGACACCATTTAGCACTCAGCAAGCCCCCCAAGGGCCCTCACAGCCCCTGGGGGTGCCGGTCACAAGACGGGGCTTGTGAGTGCATGTTTTAGCGCTGTTTTTCTGTGGGGATGGCCTTTTTTCCCTTTTTCCTTCCTTCTAGTTCCTCCCCCTACTTCCCCCATCCTTCCCTGCTTCCTCCTTCCCTTTTATCCTCGTGTGTTTTCTCTCTTGTCCATTTCTTTCTTTGATTTTGTCAGAACAGATGCTCTTTGAGGACTGTTTCTCTTGTTGGAACAGCTTTGGAGGCTTCAGAGGGATTCCAGAAGCCTCTGGTGTTCTCCTGACACCCACATTTGGGGAGGAGCCCACTTCTGGGCGGGCATCTCGCATCAGAACACTGCAGTTAGCTTTGGGTGGAAAACATTACTCATGGCGCGGCTGCTCCCCCGTGTGTGGGGCGGGGAGGGGCTGGGGTGCTGGGCCACCCCCCACCCTCTCGCAGGGACCTGTATCAGCCTTCTCCGAAGGCCTCTGGAAGTGAGTGCGCCCCGTCCCAACGTGTTGTCCCCCTCCCCCACCAGGGCTCCTCTCGGCCTTGGTCCCAGGCAAGGCCAGTAACCACCTGACCTTGGAGCTGGTAGGTCCCTTCCACCCTGTTGGCCAGGAGTCTTTTCTCATGTTTATCTTCTCAGCAAGTCAGATCGCTTTCTGGCTGGAGGGTTCTGTTCTCCACAGGCTCCAGCCCAGGGGCCTGGGAACAACTCTTTACCTGGCGGGGTGTGTGTGTGTGGTGTGTGTGGGTGTGTGTGTGTGTGTGTGTGTGTGTGTGTGTGTGCGCGCGTGCGCGTGTGTGTGCGTGTGTGCGCGCGCGTGTGTGTGCGTGCGTGTGTGCGCGCGTGCGTGTGTGTGCGCGCGCGTTCAGTTCTTGGGTTGGCTCCTGGTGAAGGTGAGGGAGCCAGGCCCATTGCCAGGAGGGAAGAGTTTGGATCTGATTGGAAAGTTCTGAAGGGGATTATTCTGCAGCTGATTGAGAAGGCACCTGTGGGCCCTGGTGGTCCCTCTCTTTCTGCACTTGGGGGGTATTTCACCTGAGGACAAAGAGGGTTAACTGGTGATGGGAGCTCAGGGGCTGCCCATGCACACGTGCACACGTTTGTCTGCTCACGTGGCTTTTTCCACAGCAGAGAGAAGACAGCTCAGGTCGGTTTGGCCCAGGCCTCTCCTTGCCACCTGCCTTTGGTTCCATTTACACCTTGCCTGTGTGTACCCCCTTTAGGTCCTAGGCCTAAGTGCCCAGCCTGCCTGTTTAACCCTACAGGCTGTACACTGGTTCTTTTCCATGTCCTCCAAAACTTCTCTGTTTTAGCTTTGACCTGCTCAGGAACAGAACAGCCGAACTTCTCCCTTGTACCCCTTGAGGTCACGAATGAGAACTTGCTTTTTCTAGGGACTGAAGACCTAGAGGAGGATGCCTTTATGGGGTGTCCTGGTCAGTAGCAGCCTTTGCTCCGGCAGCTCCGTGCTGTGCCGGCTGGTTTGTAACCGAGCAGGTTGTTCAGCAGACGCAGAGGGCCCAGCCGCCTTGCGCCTGACCTCTTGCCTCCAGGGCGGGCTTCCGGCTCTCCCCTGCTTATACAAGAGCTTGAGCCTCAGCCACTTATGATCTGAGTGGTCCAAGAAACTGTGCCTCTGGCTGGGAGCTTGTGTGTGGAGGCTGGGACAGTCCTGGGGACGTTGGAGGGAGACAAAGGGTATTTTCAAGTCTCCAGCAGCAGCAACTCTGAACTCATGACTCAGGGGCTGGCACCGCATGGCACACGGCCTGTTGCCACTGCCTGTCCCCCCTTACTTGATGGAGCCCTACCCACCTACTCGGTGACTTCTCCCAGTTCAGCAAATACACCCTTCCACTTGTGAAAAGTTTCCATACACCAGGGGTGGGTGGGCTTTGCATCCTTCAAAGCCGATCTGTGCTGGCTAAGCTCCGTGGGCGGGGGCGTGGCTTTCGTTATGTCTCATCACAGCCAGACAGCCATACATGGTCACTGCAGCTCCAGAGCTGCAGCGTGGTGACTCAGCCTCGAGAGGCTGATATAACAGGGGAACAGCCAGAGCCAGTGAGTGGCTGTTGAAACCTGGAGGCCGAGAGCCTCCCAGGGTCATGCTCACCTGCCCAGAAACCACCTGGGGCAGCTCTGAGCAGACCCAGGCCTCAGAGGAAAGGTTCTAGAAGAACTGGAAGAGAAACCACTGCCACTTATCAGATTCCAGGCCAAGGTGTGACAGCCCAGCCCGGTTGGATCTATGTAATGTGGTTCCAGGAGTGGGCACTGACGTTTACTTAGAAATTGGTTCTTTCTTGAAAGGAGAGTCTGCTTCTTTTCCCTAGAAAATGCCGATCCTGAGACGGACTCTGGTGTGGTGTTGAGGGGGAGGGGAGAGCCGTTTTAGATACTTAACTTAGGCCTGGCTTGTGCAGTTCAGGATGATTTGGCACCAGGCCATGGAGTTTTTGTGAGCATTTTTACTTGAGACAGTTGTGGAATTTCCAGGCAGCAAGTGAGGCCTTTGACAGAGAAACTGCAGCCAGGCCAGCAACTCCTGGGCTCAGGATCAGAGTTCATTCTTTCTCGAGGGACAGCCTAGAGAGGTTTCTGGATGCAGAAGACTCACCAGCTCTTGTGTAGTTCCCTGAGCCCATGAATCAGAGGTTGGGGAAGTCAGGGAGAGAGATGGATCCTCATCCCCGAGGGCCAGGCTTTGCCGAGGACAAGGGAACCTGCACAGACCCCTGTGTATGCAGCGGGAGAGGGGCTGGTTCCTGAAATGCTGGATGATGAAACGTCTGCCTTCCCAAGCGCATATTTCACCTGTACGTGACAAACGGAGAAAAATAAGAACAAAATAGAAAGGTTTTCATGAAGCCAGATCTATCCAGTCGAGAAAGTCTAAGATTATGTCATGCATTCTTTTTGTAATAAAGTTAAGCGACCGTGTCTTTTGTTTTTTTTTGAAATGCTGACAGTAATCAGTGTTTTGTGTGTGCTTGGTTTTTGATTTTATGTCATTACCTGGCAAGGCACAAAGGTGGCTGTTTTGTGTTGGTCCCTCCATGCTTTTTGGGTTTTGGAACTTTCCTGACCAGTTAGCACAGGAATCTTGAAGCCAGCCCCTGATCGGTCTGGGCCTGCAGAGGCACCTGCCCTTTGTGGATTTGGTTTCACCCTCCCGCCCATCCCCCTGCTTCTCACCTGGGAGTGCTGGGATTGCTGTTAGGGCTGGTTGGTGTCCTCCCTCGTGCTAACTCGAGGGCTCTGTGGCTTTCCCCAGCCATGGATTTTCCCCAGCACAGCCAGCATGTCTTGGAGCAGCTGAACCAGCAGCGGCAACTGGGGCTTTTGTGTGACTGCACTTTTGTGGTGGATGGTGTTGACTTTAAGGCTCATAAAGCAGTGCTGGCGGCCTGCAGCGAGTACTTCAAGATGCTCTTCGTGGACCAGAAGGATGTGGTGCACCTGGACATCAGTAACGCGGCAGGTACCCCACTGGGTCCAGGGCCGAGCTTGTGGCGGGCCCCGTGCCACGCGAGGCCCTCCTTTGAGCAGCACCTTCCAGCTGTGGGGTGCGCCAGACCTCCCACACAAGACTCGGCCATGAGTGCGTGGGTACCAAGTTCTTACCACATTTGTGGGGCCTCTTTTGACTGGGAGTGGGGTGGTAAGGGGAGAGGTGGCAGGAAGGGCTCATGATAAGCTCCGGAGTGAACACAGGACAAGCTCGTCAGGAGGGACAGAGAGCAGGGGGGCTCTGAGCCCTGGTCCCTTTCCATTGCTGAGTCAGTCCTCAACCCCCTACCCCAGTGCTCACCTTGATGGGAACGGCAAGGGTTGGGATCGGGAGGGGTGTCAGGAAGGTCCTGGGATTGAGGAAGGAACTAACTGGTCCTAGGTTCAGGTTCCCAACCCAGAATGACATGCCGTGCTGCCAGAAGTTCGGGCAACTTCATTCCCCCATTTTACACATGCGGAAACTGAGGCCCAGAGAGGTCAGGTGACTGGCCTGGAGGTCAGGTAGAGAGTTTGTGGCAGAGCCCTGATGAAAGCCAGTGGTGAGAGACTCTGTCCTCTGGTGGTGAAATGCAGTGGATGGGCAGAGAGTGTTCAGGGTGGGCACTCACACCCTCCGCCCTCTATGGATGTGCTGCTTTTTGGAGGCTGTTGTCTGGGTTGAGAATCCCCAGGTTGCCCGCCTCTCCACTGGCCCGGGAGATGGGGAGACAGTGGGCTGCCACCGCCCCTCTGCTTTTCACAAATCCCTGGATCCTGCCATGGAGTGGAGCAGCTGGACAGGCTGCTGGTGCCAGGCCTCGAGGTGGGTCCGTGATGGCTGTCTGTGTCCTTGGCAGGCCTGGGGCAGGTGCTGGAGTTTATGTACACGGCCAAGCTGAGCCTGAGCTCTGAGAACGTGGACGATGTGCTGGCTGTGGCCAGCTTCCTGCAGATGCAGGACATCATCACGGCCTGCCATGCCCTCAAGTCACTGGCTGAGCCGGCTGCCAGCCCTGGGGAGAGTATGGAGGCCTCGGCCTTGGAAGGTAAGATTCTTGGCAGGCTGTTCCTGAGCAGGTGGCTTTTGATGGGAGCTCTGCCCCTGCCTCTGTGTGTCACCTCTCTAGCCTCGCCTGTGTTGTGAGGAGCTCGTGGGGAGCAGCCACAGCAAAGTCTGAGAACGCCTCTCAGAGGGGCCCTGTCTGCCCTCCCTGCCTGAGGGCACTGGCAGCCATGCCTGGCTCAAGGCCTTTGCACAGGACTGCCCTCTTCCGGCAGGTCTCCTCTCCCACACCCTTCCTCCTGCTCCCCCTAGTGCCTCAGGAAGGCCCCCTGCGGCCCAGTGTGGGCCACATGCCTCGTGGCACACTTTCAGAGAACCACGCTCCTCTCCTTGTAAGCACCCATCTCTGATCAGCGTCATTTCACGTGTGACGACTTGTCTCCCCGACCAGTCTGCAAGCCCTGTGGGAGCAGCAACCATGACTGTTGTACCCCAGGCCCAGCGGCAGCCTGGTGTGATGTCGGTGCCTATGAATAATCTGTTGAATGAGCAAACCAACAAACCGCTACTTAGATGTATCCCCAGGGAGGTTTGGAAGGGCTGGCAAGCTCTGGGCTACCTCACCCTGCCAAGCGGTGGACACTTGATGGGAAATGGCAGGTCTGTCCTATTCCATCTCCAGTGGGGGACAAGAGAGCCAAAGAAGAGAAGATGGCTGCCACTACACTGAGCGAGCTGGACCTGGCCAGAAGCAGTCCACCCGCGGGCCTGGGCAGGGAGCCCAAAGAGGAGCGAGGCGGCCAGGCTGAGAGCGCGGCTAGCGGTGAGTTGTGATGCTGAGGACCTGGCTGACTGTCCATCACCTGCCAGCAGCGTGGGCTCCAGCGCAGTGAGCAGCTTTCTCAGGAGTCTCCTGGGGGAGGGAGGGGGGGAGGCACAGGCAACTGCATCCCTTGAGCTTAGGTTACCCAAAACCACCGGTTATTTTTTCTGGGGCATCTGTTAAAGCCAGAGCAGAGGCTCAAGCAGCCCGAGCTTTGATGTGCTCCCCCGACCCCTGGGGCCACAGCCGCTTCCAGGGGTCTGGTCCAGGAGAGCCGACCGGCCCCTGGACAGAGGGTGCCAGTCCAGCTCCGGATGCCCCCACACCCCTACCCCAGGTGCAGAGCAGACGGAGAAGGCCGATGCCCCCCGGGAGCCTGTGGAGCTCAAGCCGGACCCCACGAGTGGCATGGCTGCTGCTGAGGCCGAGGCTGCCTTGTCAGAGAGCTCAGAGCAAGGTACCCTCCGCCAGCTGGGGCGCCCGCCCTCACGCAGGCATCCCCCACTCACACGTCACACACCCCCTACCCCCCCCTTCCGCCAGCTCTCTTCCTCCCTTCTGTGAGTCACTCTCTCACATCAGCTTTTGGGCCGACATCTTTCCTCATTCTTGAATTTTGACGTCAGTTTCTTGGTTGTACACCCTGGCCATGCTTCCCTTTAGCACAGAAGTGTCCTTGTCGCAGTACTGGCCCTGCTGTTTTTCCCTGGGCTGAGCACCGTGGCGGAACTTGGCCGCCCATCGCACCCACCCCAGCCCCCGCCCCCAGTGCTTGTTGGCTGACAAGCACCCTTCCCACCTGTGTCGCCAAATATGGGGTCCCCGGTGGACTGAGGCCCATCTGCATCCTCCAAGCGGCAACTGTCCCCGGTCATTGGTCTCCCCTGGGCTTGCCCTGGCGGTGCTGGGGACCATTTATCTGCGGCCTCTAGACATTGCCCTGCCCCTGCGAGGCGCCCACGCAGAGAGGGGGTGTGTGCAGAGATGAGCCGTGCCCAGGCCTCACTTGGCCAGTTGCCAGGTCGGCTTCCTCAGCGTCTGCCCCTCTTGTGGCAGAAATGGAGGTGGAGCCAGCCAGGAAGGGAGAGGAACGAGAGGAGGAGGGCGCCGTGCCCGCGGTGGTCAAGGAAGAGGGTCCGCCGCTGGAAAAGGGCGAGGCCCCCGAGGAGAGCGAGGAGTCGGCCAGCACGGACTCGGGCCAGGAGCTCGGCGCGGAGGCGCGGGGCCTGCGCTCGGGCACCTACGGCGACCGCACGGAGTCCAAGGCCTACGGCTCCGTCATCCACAAGTGCGAGGTGCGCCGTGGGCGGTGGCGGCCCCGCCCCGGCCCCCCGCCCAGCGTCGCCCCTGACACCCCGCCCCCTGCGCCCGCAGGACTGTGGGAAGGAGTTCACGCACACGGGCAACTTCAAGCGGCACATCCGTATCCACACGGGCGAGAAGCCCTTCTCGTGCCGGGAGTGTAGCAAGGCCTTCTCCGACCCGGCCGCCTGCAAGGCCCATGAGAAGACCCACAGGTAGGCCCAGCGGCCGCCCCCCATGCCTTCCCCCCCACCC